AGACTAGACTAATATCACTCTGAACAGTGAATAATAGTATTGCTAGATTTTATGTCATAATGCTGTAGAATTAGCACTGGGTATCTTAGTGTTTCTTCTTCTTCAGAGTATCTGTTCATTACATTGTGCATTATATAATCTGTTCCCATAAATTGTTTAGAAATTCTTCCCATATGAGAATCTCTACATTTATATCTATCCTTTCTGTATTATAGGGAAATACATCAAAACAAGACAACAAAACAAATTCCTAGAAAAATATGAAATGAAAAAGACATATGAAACCACAGTATTAGATGACCTACAGTAGTTACTATGCTTTCTCATTATTTTCAATAGAATTGTCTACATCATCAGACATAATATAATTGAACATAGCATTATATAGCAATTTTAATAAAAACACAACATTGGACACATTGTAGGACTTCAAAAGCAGTTAATAATCAAACCGGAATGGGTATCTTATCACATCTTGTCATCTTCAGAGTAGTTGCCTCTACTCTTAGACTATCAAGCATACCAAATTCGAGTAAAACCAGTCAAGGCAAAACAGCAGTCTAACAAACCAGCTTCAAATAAGATCAGTCATAATAAGACAATGTAAGTAACACAGGGCTTCAGTTTAAGTTAATAGGAAATTAAGGATAGTTGCCGTAGTACAGCCTGCTATTTTTAGTATAGCTGTCTGTGCCCTCAAATCTAGTATGAGTAGACAGACCAGAATAAAATAAAATCAAACTAAACAGAGCAATAAGACTAATGTGACTTTTAAATCCTGATACACTATTAACAATGTCCTCTGCCTTCTTTTTTTAGGCAATTCCTCCCCTTTCCCTTTCTCAGGGTGCTTTGTATAATTTGGGTCCCTCTGGTTTCTTTAGTTTTTAGATTCGGGGTGCAACCCATTATCTGAGTGGTGCTGAACCTTTTTACCTCTGAGCTTCATTTTGAGCTTTATTCCTTTACTAATTAAGCCTCAAAGTTTTCCTTCTTTCTAGCTGAGTAGTTCTGCACTGCACAAAAGTGTCATGACTTTCCAACCTATCTGTGGCTGCTGGACAAGCTGTTTCTATTTCTCTCTGGTTCCCTGTCACATAGAGCATTGTTTTCTCATCTTTGACTTTCAGTTTGTTAACCTTCTTTCAGGTTGAATATATTTCCTATTCAGAGCATCTTGATGGATCCTGCCCCCTAATCTACTCTGCCTGTGTTCCTTTTTGTTAGTATATCAAGGCTATCTATATTAGAGATTATAGCCCACCTTTCTGCCTCATCTCTGCTATTCTATTTTTCTGCTATTATTTGTCCACTTTTCTCCTTCATTCCACTGTCTGCCCCATTCATTGAGGCCTCTCTGCCACTGTTGCTGGAATTCTGGTATTTTTTCTCTCTCTCTGGAATGTCCTTCACTATTTTTTGTAGGGTTGGATTGGTGGCCCACAGTTCCTCTTTGTCTTGGAAGCATCTTGTTAATTTTGAGAGAGAGTTTTCCAGGGTACATCAATCTGGGCTGGAGGTTATTTTCTTTCAGGGCTTGGACTACTTTCCCCCAGGCTCTTCTTGATTTTATAGTTTGTGTTGAGAAGTCTGTTGTTATTTTGATGAACTTTCCTTTATAGATGATCTGCTTCTTTTCTCTGACCACTTTTAATATTCTGTTCTTGTGGTGGATTTCTGGAACCTTGATTATTATATATTTGGGTGTAGATCTGTTTTGGTTGTAGTTGGTTGGAATTCTGTATGCCTCATTTATTTGGATATCATTTCTTTTCCCTATGCTTGGGAAGTTTTCCTTAATTATTTCTGTGAATAGCCTTTGTAATTCATTTGTGGTTACTCTTGCTTCTTCACTCACATGTTTTATTCTTAAGTTATAGATCATCTTATCATCTTCTAGCTTTTGAATTATTACTTTCTGGTTCCCTGTTATTTTTAAGAGGTCTTTTCTTTCATGGTCACACATTGCAAATCTATCTTCAAGTTTTGAAAGCCTAACTTTAGTTTCTGTCAAGGCATTTTGCCAGCTTTCAATGGTGTTTTTAATTTCCTGGTAATCTCTTTGGATCTCTTTGATGTATTCTAGATTTTGTTTATATTATTCACCAAAGATTTGTCTTCCTTTTCTGGGTTCCTCCATTCTTCCATCTGTGTCTTCTTGAGAGGGGCTTAGCATTTCTTTTATTAATCTTTTTATATCTTGCCTCACTCAGGTTAGAATTTCAGTTTTAAGTTCATCTATGAAGTCACGAAGGTATTTCTTTATGTCCGCAGATGCTGTGGTCGATATTGCATGATTGCTGCACTGGATCTGTTCTGTATTTACCTCTCCGAGACTTATTTTCTCAGGGTCAGTGGCTGCAGGTTTTTTCTTATTTTTCTCTCTTGTCATGTTTCTGGTTTCTTTCAGAAAGGTGTGTGGTTGAGGTCTAAGGCCCTCTTTGTATTGCTTAAGGTTTTTCCGAAGCCTGCTGGCTGGGGGCTTGCTGCCCTCTCCAGTGTGCTGTTAACTGAGGTGCACACAGGGGCTGTGGGCTGGCCCCTTTCCTCTGAGCCAATTAACTGATGAGTGCCTTCACCACGTTAGTTCCTGATGTGCAGACATCTCAGGGTCAGGTCAGTTTCATCCCTGGCTATTGGGTCCTGATTAGGGGCATGACTCAGCCCAAGCTGGTCCCACCCATTCGCTTTGAGCTGGTGGCTGCTGACTGAAGCCATCACTGCACAGGGCTGTGCCCCACCCCAATATATCTTCCAGCCAGACACACCCACCACAGAACCTAATTTCCAGCATTCACTGATAATTAATGCAGTTCTCCACCTTGGCTCCACTCCTCCTGAGCCACGTCCTCCCACCAACTCCCATTATCCGTGGCTACGGCAGCTTCAGAGCGACCATGGATCGTGAGACCCCAAACAGTGCTTCCAGCACAGCGCTGGGATGGGTCCCAGTGAGCACGTCCAGCTCCAGCCCTCCACCCACGTTTTTCCTTCATCTCCTTTTTTCTTCAGTTTCCTCCTGGGTCGTGAAAATCCTTCTCCCCTCATCCAGCCCTGTCTATGCTGTCAAATTCCAGTGTCTGAGCTGTTTTTCCCAGAGAGGCTCTCTACCTAGCTACCTAGCAAGTCACCACCTTCTCATAATCATTAGTTTTAAAGACTTCCACAGATTTGAACAGTATTATTAACTATTAACCTGACTGAATTAACTCTAAGACAATTTAGAGGTTTTGGGGAGCCAAGGCCTATCAAAAGTATTTATAATCAGGAGACATCTCCCCTTTTAAATTAATTTTTTCTAATTCATCTTTGACCTGACACATTGCATGTTGAGTTTATCTATTAACATGCTGCATCTGTCAGGTGAGCAGTTCTATTTTTATTTATTTAGAACACATTGTACTGAGATCCATTTATGCATTGAATTCAAAGAAATCAGTGTTATCTCAGTATGTTTTTTGCATATGTGTGTTTTTGAGATAGGGTCTCATTATGCAGTTTAGGCTGGCCTTGAGCTCACTTTGTAACCCAGGCTGGTCTTGAATTTGCAATGATCTTCCTGCCTCGGTTTCCCTAGTGCTGGGATTACAGACATGCATCACTGTGGTTGGCTTTGCTACTTCGGTTTTGCTGAAAGCAGACCTCTTGATATGTGATTGTATTCTTTCTTTTAGAGAGATTCTTGATTTTCATGTTTTAAATGGTTTTCATGTGTCTGGTAGCCAAAAATCTGTTCCTGGGGGTTGGAAAACCGTGCCTGCTGGCCAGCTGACTTAAAGTAAGAATGTAGTATGGGAAACTACCTAAATTAAAAAAAATTTTTTTTCTTTGAGTATCACCAGCTTGGGTGTGTCTGTCAAGTGCAGAATCCTGGGGGCTGACCTGTATTCTGCTAAACAAATATCAAAGGATGTTTAATAGTTAAATGTATGCTTTTCTCTTCTTGCTGTACTTAATTCCCAGAAGTTATTTATTATGTTTTTGTGATTACCAGGCTCATTTTGGGTGAAGATATGTGTATATTTTACTTAGAGAAATACACATACATCAACACACACACACAAACTGAAGTAAAAAACTTTTGTTTATCAAAAGATACCACCAATAAAATGAAAAATTAGCTACAGACTGGGGAAAATATGCACAGTGCAAATATCTTATGGAGAACTTGTATTATACATTTGTAAAAAACCTTCAAAACTCCCAATAATTGAAAATACCCAGTTTTTAAAATAGGCAAACTTGATACTTCATGAAAGAAGATATGTAAGTGGATCACTACCTCATGATAGTTTTCATTCTTACAGTTGTCAAAGAAGTGCAAATTAAAACCACCATGATATGTGATTTCAAACCAACTACAGTGATGGTGAAACTACATCATGTGTGCCACAGTGAGTTGTTTATGTCATGGAAGACTCTAAAACATTCACCATCACTCAACGGTAAAGATTAAAAATTTAAAAAAATGCTGAAAGCAGTAAAAGTTATGATGGATGTAATGTAGCCAGAGCTTTTTTTTTGCTTTTTAGTGTTGGGGATCAAACCTAGAGTCTCAGGTATTTTAAGCAAGTGCTGTACTACTAAGCTAAGTCTTCGGCTCTTTTGAATATTACCAATGGAAGTGTGAAATGATAAAATCTCTTTGGGTGATGATTAAATAGATCCTTATTATTTTAAATGTACATTGACCCTATTACCTAACAATTCCATTCCTAGGTATTTGAACAAAGTTACTCAAAACATATATATCCAGAGAAATAATTTTACATTAATGTTTGTAAAAACTTTATTTATATTATGTCAAAATTGGAAACAGTCTAAATGTCCATAGAATTGATAGACAAATTATCATTATTCATACGATAGAATACTATTCAGTAATAAAAAAGTACTATTGATACATGCAACAATTAGATGATTCAAAGCATCAAGACTATCAAAATAATCTAGATACAATTGTGAACAAGTGACTTGTAAATCTTATTTGTGGTGGCAGAATTAGAATAACATTTGCCTATAGGTGTTGGGTTGGATTTAGGAGCTTGAAGAAACTTTCTGGGGCATAACCAAAATATTTACATCTTAATTTAGGAGTTATTTATACAGATATATGTTTGTTAAACTCATTGAATATTACGTTTAGGATCTATGGAGTGTACTGCATGTAAATTTTACTTCAATTTAAAAAAATAGGAGGTCGTGTTTTAGGAGAAATTAAAGATGTGTTGAGATAAACATAACATCTGGATGGTATTTGTAACTCTCATTACAACTTTCTTACGTAGAATTTTTTAACACTGTAATTTTTTCTTACTATGCCATCATTTTTTTTTTTTCTTTTTTCTTTGGTATGGGGGATTGAACTCACAACCTCACACTTGCCAGGCTGGCACTTACGCCGCTGCGCTAAATCCCTGACCCTAGAATTTGAAGCATTTTTTCATTGTGTCTTACATTTACATAACTTAAAACCCCCCACTCATTAAAACAAGTCTAGAAAAACAAGGAAGTAACAATAATTCTTTCATCCTTGTTTCCCACTCTCCATCCTAACCTGTAGTCAGCTACTATCTTCAGTTTCTTATGACTCTGCCTCCAACTATATTTTAAAAAAGCCCCACACTTTCACTGAGGATAATGCAGTCCAAGAAAACATGATGCTAAGCATTAAATATCCCATTGAGGTTATAGCACTAGAATGCAAGCATTAGAGCTGAGAGAGCTTTAGAAATGTTAACATTTGAAACTGGAAATTATTTGATCAAGTCTTTGTTCAGAGTGAATTATCGTGCTTTTCTTTTTTCTTTTTTGTTGGCGGGGGGTACAGGAAGAGAACTCAGGACCTCATGCTTGCCAGACAGGTGCTGTGCTACTGAGCTAAACCCCCAAACCCATATGATGACTTTTCAAAGCACAGTTTCTGGAAGGTTTTCACATCTTGTCAGACTGCCCTGGGTTGTCAGGTTAGAAATGCTCTTTTTGGCAAGGGTTCTTGCTATTTCTAACTGTTGCAGCCATCGTTTCTCTTTAAAGGCACTGGAAGAAAATAAGACACCACGAGGGTTAGTCTTATCCCTATGCATAGCTGAAAGGATCAAAATATTCAGGCTGATGCTTGTAGTTGTAGCTAGTTTGTCTTATTATGTGGGTAGGATGTGAACTAGAAATGAGATTCTTTGAAAATCAATTCCTTTTGATGCTGTGAGAATGATGTGTTTCCAAGGCAACACTAGTAGTTTGAAATCTACAACTAGAAACAGAAAATCTATTAATAGCTTGCAAAATTTTCTAGCTTGAAACTTCTTTGTCCTTCCTGTATATTGCATATTGTAACCACTTGTCATCAAAACATCCATTAGACTTTTTCTTTGAGAAAATCTTGGAGGTTTTTTTGACTATGTTAGAATTTGACTATGATTAGTCCTACTTAATAGGAAGCAGATGTTTTCATTACAGAGGAATTGTACATCATAAATGTTGGGGTCCTCTAAGATTTTGCCCTCCGTTCTTCTCTGTGTCCTTATCCTGGGAGGGTTCTTTATGCCTTGCTTCAATGTCCATATTTGTGACTGCTAGGTCTTGAATTTTCTTAAAATTTATATCTCCAGTTAGCGAATAAAGCTGTAACTTGACATATCTCTTATCCTCTTCCTTAACTTGTCCCCCCGCTCACGATATCCTTATTCTGACACATGGACTTTATGGATCTCCACACGGACTTTATGGACCATTCCACAACTGGACCCAAAACTCAATTATTTTCCTTTCTCCACTTCTTTCTCCACTTCTACACCCAATTCCTTTCTCTACTTCTATACCCAATTGGCGATCAAATTTCATAGGTTATCGCCCAGAAATACCCTTTTGGTACTTTCCCTCTTTTCTGACTACTACTGTAATTATATTCTAAGTATTTATTATCTCCTGCTTCTCTTATTGCTGTTTCCTAACTCTATTTTACATTTTTCACTCTTTCCAGTTTATGATACATCTTCAAATTTGTCTTCAAAATACAAACAAAAAACTAATTAAATGTCTTACCTTATAAAAAAAGTACACAGCATACCTCATGGAAAATGGAATAAGAAGCAAACTCTCTGCTTGGGCATAAAGATGTTTCTTATGTAGGTGAAATGTACCTGATTAGTCTCATCTCCAGCCAATTTCTCCCTAGTCTCTAAAATTCTTTTTTGCAAATCCACTTTCTTTCTTGAAAACTAATTCTTGCTTGTCTTTCCCTAAGCACTTCTATCTTTGACCCTGTTACTGTCTCTATCTGGATTCCTTCCTTTATTATCACACTTTTTTTAAAAATTATCACCACTTTTGTTTGGCAAAATCCTGTAGATTTTCTAAGGGCTCCCACTCAAACTGTGAGGAGCAGCTTTGCATTAAAAATACCTTCGTGCTTCAAACATTTGAACCAGATCCCTGTATATCTGCTCTAACTCTGTGTTCTGGATTAACTCCTTGCTTTACCTCCATAGCGGTGTCTCCCTGGGTCCTCTAAAGTGAGTTCATCCATCTATGCTGCTCATAAAATCGACTCTTAAACCCTGAGATTACTCAGGATCCTTATTACCTGACTTAATCTAAACTACCCTCTCCATCCTGATGTACACTCTTGTTCCTCCTCAGCCCAGAAATCATCATCGTCTCCCTGGCATTCGAACCCTAACTTATCTGCATTCAGGCAAAAACTGTTCATTGAGTGCTTCCTGTATGTCAGGCATATTCTGGGTGCTAGGAATACAAAAAGTGAGAAAAAGGCTATGCCTTGGTTTAAAAACAAAATAAAACACAGAGCTGTACTTTTATCTGGAGCCCAACAACCCATTAGAGTCAGTATTTGGGATGACCATCTATTCTCAGTCCACTTAGACGCTCCACCTTCCACACCAGTCCCTTACATTGGAAACTTCACTAAAGTGGACTTCTAGGCCACATAATGACCATTGAGATCAGATGCTAGGCAGTGAGGAAGATCAGTTTCTAGTCATACTTTAGCAGTAGGGAGGATCCCTGCAAGGGACTGATGGGGGGCATGAGGAAAATTTTGGGGTGTCTGTTAGAAAAAGTTTATACCTGGTTACCTGGCTACTGCATATGCAAATGTAAAAACTCAATATACTGTACATGTGCTGTTAGTATTTCTTATGCATTTTTCTATGTTTTATAACTCCACCCTATAGACACTGGAAGCCTTTCTCATCTGAAACGATACACACACCCACTTTCAAAACACATACTTTTGGACTGAAGATGTAGCTCAGTGGTAGAGCCTGAGAGCCTGGTGTGACCTCCAAAACAAACAACAAATGTACTGTTCTATGTTTCCATTCTGCCTATCGCTGCTCTGGACCACTGAAGCACTTGTATGTTTGCAAAAAAATTTATTTTAAATCTGTGTCTGTTGCCACAAATCATACTTCCTTTCTTGTGTTTATAGCTTGATTTTAAGGTGAACAATATAATTTTTTGAGACAAGGTTTCACTGTGTATTCCAGGCTGGCCTCGAATTTAAGATCTTTCTGACTGAGCTATTCAGGTTCTATCCAGGATTCTAGCTGTACCCACCACAACTGGCTTACAACTTAAATGAATCATTTTCATAGTAGTTTTCTAGAATTTAGATGATTTTTTATTCGTTTCAGTCACAAGAGTCTCCAAATTAGGAAGACTAAAACAATACAGTTAGGCGGCGTCTTCACCTTCTGGATTCATTGCCCTGGATGTTAAATTTTACATTTTACAGCCCCAAGTGTCTTTCACCACTAGGTGGCGACAACCGAGCTGAAAAAGGAGTGAAAGACAAATAAAATGATCGAGGCTTATATATATATATATTTTTTTTTATTTAAGCTTATATTTTTTTTTCTCTCTCATTATTTGGACTCGGGGAGAAAAGCTACTCAGCAATCTATACCTCTTTAAGCTAATAATATTTCTTAAGTAATAGATAGGACCTAAGATCCAATCTGAGTGTTCTGTTTTCAGTGAAATCTAATGACCAAAATTTATCTGATGGAAATAAATGTGCCCGAAAAGCCCATTTCTTAACTTTTTGTTTTTTTGGTACAGAGGATTCAACTCAAGATCTTGCTAGGCAGGTGCTGTACCGCTGAACCATATCCCTAGCTCCTCTTTTTTTTTGAGACAGGGTTTCGCTGTACAGTACAGGCTGGCCTTGAGCTCACTTTGTAGCCCAGGCTGGTCTTGAACCCTGCAAGATCTCCTGCCTCAGCCTCCCGAGTGCTGGGATTACAGGCATGAGCCACCATGCCCGGCTTCCCCAGCTTCTTCTTGTTTAAATTTTAAATACGACAGCGGACTCCCACTAAACTTACAATATCAATTCTAGCATCTTATCCAATATAAACCTCCTTCCCACCCATACATCTTGCTTAGTAAATAAAAACTGGTCTTTAGGGTTGACTTCATTATGAAATTGTTCCTTTCTTTTCTTCCACTTGCATCATTCATCATTTTATGTCACCAAGTTTTCTATGACACTTTTGATGTCTCCTTTCCATGTTTCAAGTTTCTACTTTTAACTATAACAGTTCACAGATTTTTATTAGACTCAAAAAGTAAATTAGCATTGGCAATAGAACTAACTGATACCATTCCATCATGACTCTCCTTTCTTCCTGAAAGCCTGAGTAGTAAATTGTTATATAGATTGGTTTGTTCTATAACACTGGTTTACTTTTTCCTAGACAATTAAGCATACTGAGATCCTTGATGCTGGGGACAGATGCCTCAGAAAAACTTGTGTTGCTCTCTTTGTTATTGTAGGCTTTATGAATCCTCTCTGTCCTAGACCTGTCTCATTTGAGGTTTGCCAACATATGTTTAAAGAGAAAACATTGGTCAGATGTGCTGGTGCAGGGATGTAATCCCAGCACTCAAGAGGCTGAGGCAGGAGGACTGCTGCAAATTTGAGGCCAACCTGGGGAGCATAGTGAGTTCAAGACCAGCTAGGAACTACATAGTGAGACCATGCTTCAAAAACCAAAATAATAATAAAAACAAGAATGAGAAGGAGGGAAACAGAGGGAGAGAAGGAGAGAGAGAGACACTACCTTGCCATGGCTAAGTAGTAGATTGCATTCTCCCTTGGAGTCCTCCCACTGTACTTTGAGAAAGATTCCAAGGAGGACCTTAGTAAGTCAGCCCTGGGTGTTGCATAGTAAAATGATGGGTGTGAATATCCCACACTTGAAACTGGAGGAAGTGGGACTTGAGGAAGATATTTATTTTTCACAAGCCTTTCTTTTCTCCTAGCTGTGGCAGTAATTTCTTTTTGATATTGTTGTTGATGTCCTTGTAAGTCAGAGAACTTATTTGCCTCCGCTAATGGAGGAAATGTGACAATTTGTTCCCTGGTGTCCCTCTGTGAAACTGTCAAAGAATCAGCAGGTTTCTTGCTTGCAGTGTAAGCCTTGAGAGGTGGTAGCTTGCCCAAGGTGCTCTGTGAATCCTGGTTCCCAATCTTATGCCAGCTCTTGGAGGTCATTTTTGGTGTGGTGAAGCCATCCACCATCACAGTATCTCCAACTTTTGCCCCAAAGACCCTTGATTTGCAAAACTGGCCTTTATGAAGGCTGTGACTCTGGGCTCTGAGGATCCACTGTTTTATTTTAATGTAAATCCTCATTGGGAGTGCAATTTTCAGAAAAGAAACCGTGGACCACGTTTTACTCAACAAATACAATACACAGTCTTTATGTTTGTGTTTGAAGGCGATGGTCAGAGGGGTTTGCCCAGCTGCATTTTTGCACTCCAGGCACAGAACGCTGCAGTGGACAAAGGCCTTCAGGATCAACAGCTGGCCTGCTTCTGCAGCGGCATGTACGGGGCATTTAGAAACATCAGTGTGAAGGGCTTCATGGCACCATGCTCGATAGGGGTGAACACCGACTGCCTCGTGTGGCCGTGCACCCTGCTTCAGGGCCCATTCTGTGAGTTCAATGTAGCCGTAAAAGGCGGAGATGTACAGGGCTACTCTTTTCTGATACCTGAATGAGTAGAACAAAGGTGTAGGGGGAAGGGTTAGTAAGTGAACAAACAGAGAAATGGAGATATACTAGATACTGACAAAACACAGGAGTTTTTTTTTTTTTTTTTTTTTTTTGTACTGGGAATTGAACTTATAACCTCATGCTTTTCAGGCAAGCACCGTGCAACTGAGCTATAGCCTCAGTCTCAAAACACAGTAGTTAAGTTGTTGATTTCTTCCTAACTTTTACCTTTAAGATGTTTGTAGAAGAGGTTTATTACCACATACATATGTTGCACAGGTCCTGCTTATATACTTTATTCTACTATGCACATGTAAATAATTCTAACTGGTTGTGTTGGAGTTCTTGGGCTACATCTTTCCTTCAAACATGGACGGTTTGCACAGAATTCATCTTTTCCCCCAAACTTGATGATTTTCTGGGGTTCTCTTCCTGGTCAGGTAGATCTCCCATTTATTGCATTGTCTTTTTTACTCTCCCTCTCTCTCATTTTCTCCCCGTTATCTAATTTGTTACCTACACTGATTGATTCTGCTGCCCCAGTACATCTTTTCAGTCTGGTCTCCTGGATAGACCTTGTTCGGGCTGCCATTGTCTCTTGTCTGTCTCTGTCTGCTTCTCTTTGTCACGCTGAGATCAGAGCTATGTTCTCAATGCAGATCCCATCTTAACCCTTCCCTCACTCCAGTGTCTCTTCCCTTCTTGAAAGATAAAGGCCAGATCCTATTATATTTGTCTATTGGCCTGCATGAACTGGTCTCTACAGTTATCTTTCTAGTCCCTGACCACTTCCTCTCACTCTACAATTCAGATGGAATGTCCTTTAGTCTTGAAGTGACATTCTCTTAACTCTGTCTTTTTTGAACATTACTGCGTTTCTCATCCATAGAGCAATCTAAGTATAAAAAGAGGCAGTAAATGTAACGCAGTATTTGTTACATTTAAAGATTACTAAAAGCAACAATGCCACAAACAATTTCTTTAGATTCATAATATTAAAAAAAGAATCATCACTATCCCCCAGTAGAGACTGCTGTAAATTTTTTTGACAATTTCCTAAGACTGTAGAAACCATCCTTTTGATTTGCTATTTTTAGAGCCCTTAGAGATACTGGTGGTGACTGGGCTTTTGTAAAACTTGATTCAATTACACACAAGGGGGCACTGTTCCAAAATACCATTGAGTAAAAATCTAAAGCTCAACATAGGCATTTGCAAAGCTGCTGACTGAAATCATACATTAAAATGCTCCCCTGCCTCTCTGAGGTTTCTCCCTCCTCTGCCACATATTATACATCATGTATGATACAAGTGTGAAGGCGTATATGAAGTACATTTAAAAAACTAAACTTGTGAACTTAGAAAGAGGTGGCTAATATTTTCAGGCACTCAATTGGCAAGTGCTTTTTAAGAACATCTGAGTGGAGTGGCAAGATACTTATTCTGACAGGCTTCAGAAGTGTTGTTGACAGTCTCATATCTCAAACCAACTATGGTCACCTCTTTAATTAGTATTTCCATAGGGAAATATACCTGAGTTATAACCCATCAGCAAAGGGCTGTTGGCCCTGATGGTATCCTTGGTGTCTTGCTCTAGCAAATGTCTCTATTAATAATGTCTGTTTGTTTCCTGCAAATTGGCCCTGGAATGGAAAAGCATTCCAGCTCTAGAACAAATGGCAGGATCAAGGTTTGATACAAATTTAGCAAGAAATTACTTAAATTAATGCAATATTTGCTTTATCTATCATACTTGAGAACTGGTCCTTCTTTTGATAGATATCGTTGGACTTTGAGTTTTTGCCCAAGGAGACAGCCCATCAGAAATTCCTTCCATCCATCCCAGACATCCAAGCGAAGGGTTGTACCTGTGGGTCAAGAGAGGTAGTTTATGATTTTAATCTTATCACTGTGGTTTGGTAAAACTCCTAATGATAATTTTTCCCTAACTGAAGCTTAAGCTAGATTCACAGTGCTAAGTGTAGAGGGCTGGTCTTTTTAGTTTAGGGGTTTATTGGCTGAGAAAACCCACTTAGCTTTTGTGATTTCCGTTTTCTCCTCTCTTCAGTGAGTGCATTTAAAGCTGAAATGTGTTTTTCAGCTATTTTGAAAGAGTTTTGTGGACAATAATTCGATGCTGGTATATGTTACCGTGTAAATTAAAGTCATTGTATTGGAAGAGGAAACTAAGAAAACTGGCAGCCCATAAACTTGGGCCGTAGTTTATGAGTGAACTGTGATGGCCTTGAGCGATGCTTACCATCTAATCTACCTATTCTACCCATTGTGAAATAGAGGCTATTTTGTTGATGATCACAAAAGTAATTCACTGATGTTGGAGAATTTATCACCAGAGCTGGTAATATAGCTAGTATCACAAGTGCCTGCCTGGCAAGTGCAAGGTCCTGAGTTAGAGTCCCCCAAGAAAAGAATTTATCACTAGACTTTCAAAAATCGACCCTTGCCTGGTTTCACTTCCTCTGGCATTTTTCAGGAATCTCTCCTCAGCCTTCCCACTTTTTACTTTACACATTCCTTGATGAGGAAACTCAAACTCCTTCTTATCTTACCAGCCCCAACTCTTTCACTCCTCTCCACTCTGCCTCATGCACTATGTTCTGGTCACCTTGACCTTTCACCGTCCCCAGATGTACCAAGTCCAGTCATATCTTAGGACCTAACAATTTATGATTTCTTTTGTTTGAAAGGTCCTTGGTCCACATTTTCCCAAGATTGGGTCTATTCACCTTTCAAACACAAACATCATGTCCTCAATAGAGGATCTCACTTGGCATCATTGCCAGAACAATCTCTGCTGCCACTACCTCCTCCCCTTCCTTACTATTTTTCTAATGGCCTTGTTTAATGCCTTCATTTCCTTTATCATTAGTACTTGAACTCATCTTACTGGTTTAGAGATCTTTTTCATGCATGCATCAAGGAGAAAAAAGCTTCTTCAGGACTTGCCACACAGTCTTGGTAATGCTTTGGTAATGCTCACTACTACTTTTTGGCCAGTTCACTGATAATCCCTCAGTGACACTAATGGCCACTGATCATTTGTGTGCTGCTCTGGTCTCCAATGCAGGACTCTATGCCAGCTCCAGACTCTCCTTGCTGGGGGTACTACCACTGTCCTAAATGACTACTCCTGTCCCCTCTCAGTCCCAAGTGGACTTCTTTTTTTCTTACAACCTAAGTGAGAAAATTCCCAGAATGATTTTATCTTTTCTGTATTTTTTTAGAAATACCTTCCACCTTGGAGATAGAAGGAGATGTTTTTCATTTTTCCTGGTTTTTCCAGTCCTGCATCTAGAACTTATTTTTAAAAATTTTATCTTAAAGAGAATAAAACCAAACAAAATGAAACAGAATAAAGCCAATTAAAATAAAACAACGAGAGTAATACTGGATTTCAAAACAAGGTAATAGAAAATCAACATTGAGAGTTTAGGATCCTTGCTGGAGCCTGGCCAAGGAACTTTGCGGCTTCCTGCTGCACTGGACCAGCTCAGTGGATCTTGAGCACACCTGCAACAACTGCTCCACTCCCTGCCATGCTTGGTGGACTCTGTGGTCCCTGGCCTACTGGCGCTCTCAGTTCCGGAGGCTGAGGGGCCTGCAGTGAGTGTTCTCCACACCATCCCCTGAACCTAGGGAGTTTGGGATCCTCGCTGGGGCCTGGCCAAGGAACTTTGCAGCTTCCTGCTGCACTGGACCAGCTCATTGGGTCTTTAGCCCACCTACAACAATTGCCCAGCTCCCTGCCATGCTTGGCGGACTCTGGTGTCCCTGCCCTGTTGGTGTCCTCAATTCCAGAGGCTGAGCAGCCTGTGATGAGTTTCCCCACACCACGCCCTGAACCATGGAGTTTGGGATCATCACTCCTACCGCCAAGGAACTTCACAGCTTCCTGCCACACTCAACCTGCACCATAGGGCTTGGGCCTGCCTGCTCCACCCCCAGTGATCCTCTCTCAATCCGGGAAACTGGGTGGCCAGAGTTCCAGGAGCTGAGGGCATAGAAGAGGATTTCCAACAGGCCCTGGGGAATCCTTGGAATAACACTTGAAACATGGAAATATGGAAAATGACAAAGTGAAAGACCAAAATACAATCTCAAGCCTTCAGCCCATCCCAAGAAACCTAGGAGCTATGTACACAGAAGAAAATATATGCCATAAACCTGAAATACCTGAAATAAAGAAGCAACTCCAGGAACCTTTGAAGGAATTCAACCTAGAAATAATCTCCCAAGTAAAAGAAGAAATATAAAACAAATGAAAAAAATGCTAAACATATCTAAAGAAGACACAGTTAAAAAATTGGAGGAACTAAAAAAAAGGTAGAATCCCTGGATGAACAATATAAGAAACAAACAAAATACATAAAGCAGATGCAAAGAGATATACAGGAAATCAAAAATTCCATTGAAAGTTGTAAAAAAACACCTCAATGAAAGTGAAGAAAGAATTTCAGAACTCTAACACAAGATTGCAGCTAGTGAACAGGAAAGGAAAGATCTTTTAAAAATAACAAGGAATCAGGAAATAACAATTCAACAGCTGCAAGATGATGCAAAGAAAAACAACATACCTTTGATAAAGATAAATGAAAAAGAAGGGGACAACATAAAGGATGTCATGAAGATATTTAGAGAAGTAATAGCTGAAAATTTCCCAAACATGAGAATGGAAACTGACATCAGGATCAGTGAAGCATATAGAACTCCGAATAGGCATAACCAAAATAAAACTACACCCAGACATATAATAATCGCCATCCCAGAAATCCAATATAAGAATAGAATATTAAAAGCTGTTAGAGAAAAGACAGATCACTCATAAAGGAAAACTTATTCGAATCACAGAAGACTTAGCACAAACAATAAAGTCAAGAAGAGAATGGAGTGAACTATTTCAGATCCTAAAGGAAAATAATTTCCAACCTAGACTGCAAAACTGTACCCTACAAAACTGTCCTTCAAAATGGATGGAGAAATAAGATACTTCCCTGACAAAGAGCAACTAAAGGACTTCATGATCACCAAACCAACCATGCAAAGAATACTGAAAGACAGATTAAATACACTTGGGAAAAAACCACTAAGCAGAGCAGACAATTAAACAGAATGGAAAGATAAAGATGCAACAGCAGAAAGATAACATGCCAACAATAAACCAACATATAACATTAATGTAAATTGTCTCAATGCACCAATTAAAAGAAACAGATTGGCATAATGGATCAAGAAACAACATCCAACCATATGCTGTCTACAAGAAACCCATCTAACCCAAAAGGATACTCACAGACTGAAAGTCAAAGGTTGCAAAACAATAATACATGCAACAGAACTTGCCTCCCCAAAAAGAGCGGGGGTAGCTATTCTGTTTGCAGACAATTTGAACTTTAAACCAAGAATGATCAGAAGGAAGGTCATTACATACTGGTTAGGAGAAAACTTCAAGAAAAAGTGATAACAATCTTAAACTTATATGCACCAAATTCCAGAGCACCCAGTTATATAAAGCAAGTATTAACAGAAATGAAAAACCAAGTTAGCAGTAACACAGTTATAACAGGAGACCTTAACACACCATTTACACCAAGGGACAGATCAACCAGACAGAAAATCAGCAAAGAAATAACAGAACTGAATCACACATGTGAACAAATGGACTTGATAGACATATACAGAGTATTCCATCCAACAACATCAGAATACACATTCTTCTCAGCAGTACATGGCACATTCTCTAGAATAGATCATATATTAGCCCACAGAACTTACTTAAATAAATGCAAAAGAGTTGAATTGTACCATGCATGTTATCGGATCATAGCACCATGAAATTAGAAATTAACAATAAAAGATACTGCAAAAATCCCACAAACACATGGAAACTGAATAACATACTTTTGAGTAATCAGTGGGTCACACGGGAAATTAAAGAAGAAATTAAACAGTACCTATAAGCAAAGGAAAATAAAAACACAATTTACCAGAATCTGTGGGATGCAATGAAAGCTGTCCTCAGAGGAAAATTTATTGCACTGAGTTCCCACATCAGGAAAACAGAATGAATACAAAGATATAACCTGATGCTACACCTCAAACATCTAGAAAAAGAAGAGCAAGTCAAACCCAAAGCCAAATGAAGGGAGGAAATTAAAAAATCAGAGCAGAAATTAATGCAATAGAGACTAAGCAAACAATCCAAAGAATCAATGAATCAAAGAGTTGGTTCTCTGAAAGAAAAATAAAATTGATAAGTCCCTAGCCAACCTTATTTAAAAAAGGGAAGGAAAAGCTCAAATTCATGCAATAAGGAATGAAAAGGAGAAATTACTACAGACTTTGTAGAACTACAGAAGATCATCAACACCTATTTTTAAAACCTCTGCTCTCAAAGGTTTGATAACACAGAAGAAATAGGTTCCTAGAAACACATGAAGTGCCAAAGTTAGGTCAAGAAGATGTAAAACTGCTGAATAACTCAATTTCTATTAATGAAATTGAAAATGTAATTAAATCCTTACTTACAAAGAAGAGCCCAGGCTCAGATGTATTCATTGCAGGATTCTACAAGAAATACAAAGAAGACTTAATGGTGACACTCCTCAACTCTTCAATGAAATTGAAAGGGAAGCAATCCTTTCTAAGTCATTCCTGGGAGCAAATATTACTCTAGTACCAAAACCTGAGAAAGACCCAACTAAAAAAGAGAACTAAAGGCCAATCTCCTTAATGAACACAGATGCAAAAATCCTCAATAAAATCTTGGCAAATAGGATTCAGCGAATCATCAAGAAGATTATATACTATGACCAAGTGGGATTCATCCCAGGCATGCAGGGTTGGTTCA